CAAGAAAGCATCAGCGGAACTTTTAGGAAACAGGTTGCTCTGGGGTAGAGGTTTTGCTTAAAAGAATTTTAAATACTTGAGTTTAATGTTGACGTTTCACGCTTCTTCAATTAACAAAGAAAAGAGAAATGAGAGAAGAAAGGTAGGATTATATAATATCAAAAGGAAAATGACAGCCTGCCTCTGCCGAAGGCAGAATGAAAGCACAGTTTACCATATGATGATACCACAGCTAACATACTCTTCTTACACCAGCCTCTCTGTCCTCAAGACGCACATACACAGGTGCACATAAAAAGCTAAGAAGTCACTTTGGGAAGTTTAATCTTAGCCCATCAACAGAAGGGCCCATCGTACTGTAAACACCAGAATGAGTACATTATTAGGGTTGCTAATGGCTAATCAAAATCTGAAGATCGGGTTTCTGGGCACATCTTGCTACATCTGGGCACTAGGCAGTCCCAGATGGTATGAGAACTGAGTTTGGGGCCTGCTCCCTCATAAGAGGCTGTCCCTGCAACATTGCCAAGGTGGGGAGTGACAGAATCTTGCAACCACAGCAAGAGACCCCTGCCTGCAGTCTCCTTGGGCACGGCCCTGTTCCTGACTCTGAAGGTCCGAGAGAAGGTTCTGGTCAACTGCTGGGTCCCAGAAACAAGGCTACAGTTACATCAAGACCAGAGGGGACCTAGTTTTACTCCTTGGGAAAGAGAATGGTCACAGTACTCAGCATATTGCTCCCCTCCCCCAAGACTGTCTCAGAAGGGGCACAAGGAAACTTTCTGGGGTAAGGGAAACACTCTGTGCCTTGACTGAAATGTAGGTTATGTGGGTGGATGTGTTTGTCCAAAGTATAGAATTAAGTCTCTTAAGATTTCTGCATTGTGGTCTATGCAAACTGTACCTAGAAAATAAGAACCGTGCACAATGATCAAATTCCAGGTGATAGGCTTACTATCTGCGATGGTATGGACTGGCAATTTTGGAACTACTTTCTGTGGAGCCTAGTGAATCAGCCGGCGAAATGGGAGCCAGGTTTCTCATCTCAGGGGAAGGTAGTTACATGCATAGAAAGGGGGAGAGTCTCACTACCAAAGGCGGGTAACATACACCATGTGCCTCCTGACATGAGGACACATCATCTCTTCTTTCATCTCATCTCTCTGCCAAAAATTCATCAACTGAATCTAGTCATAAGGAAACAGCAGACAGATCCAAACAGAGGGAAATTCTACAAGATAACTGGCACAACGTCAAAGTGTTCAAGTTAAGGAAAGATAGAGAAAAGCTAAGGAACACTTCCAGACTGAAGGAAGCCAAACAGACATGACAACTAAAGGCCTCATTCTCCTGACTTGGATTCTGGTCTGGAGAAAACGCTTATGAAGAACATTACTGGTACAAGTAACAACACCTGAAACAGACTGTGCGTCAGGTAATAGTAGTATGCAAACATTTACCTGCCTGCATTTGATAAGTGCATTCTGTTTAGGCAAGACAAGAATCTTTTTCTGAGGAACCATACACTGATGTATTTAGCTGTGAACAATCACAGTGTCTCCAACTCATTCCCAGAGTCTCAAGAAAAAGAGGAGAGGGACTTCCCTGGTGGTCCAGTGGTTAAGAATCTGCCTGCTGATGCAGGGGACACAGGTTCAATCCCTGGTCTGGGAACTAAGATCCCACATGTTGCAGGGCAACTCAGTCCATGAGCCACAACTGCTGAGCCTACGAACCCCAGAGCCCAAGCTCCGCAACCAGAGAAGCCACCACAGTGAGAAGCCCTGCGTTGAAGAGCAGTCCCTGCTCGCTGCAACCAGAGAAAGCCAGAGCACAGCAGTGAAGACCCAGCACAGGGGAAAAAAAGAAAGAAAGAAAAAGAGGAGGAGCAGGGAGGGAGAAGATCACATATACACAAACGGGGAAAAATATAAACAAAAAGCTGGGAGATCTGGGTAAAGGAGTTCCTTGTACTAGTCCCACAACTTGCCTGCAAGTTAAAAATTTTATCAAAGCAGAAAGGTACCCCTCCAAATACCCTAACTTTCCCTAAATTATCTAGATGGAAAATCTAAAAACAACAAATTAATTCAAAGTATTACGAGAAATTCAAGAACATTGGTTTCAAAATTATACTTTTCCCTTTGGTAGCAGTTCCACAAAACTATTTGGCTCTGAAAACTTAAAAAGAAGAACGAAAAGACAGACACAAACCTTGAAATAAGGTTTTCTGAAATTCCAGTGACAGATACTACCTATCATTTTAGAAAGTCTTACAAGGCGATGGCGGAAATCAGAATGAAAGCAACTCCTCACTGCCCTCCTCCCTCCAGATCTTCCAATATTTTTTCTGGAAGATGGAACAATTCACCTGGCTGCATGCCAAGCTGAAATCGACTAGGACAAGGAACAATGTGAATGTAGATGATCTAGCTTCCCTGACACCTACGTAGAGAACTGTACTCTTCCCCAGCTCAGGCCTTATAAAAGGTCTATGTTTTATTTACATAAATAAGGTAATGAAGGCATTAGTACTCAGCACAGTTTATTCTACCTCCCCAGTCTATCTGTACTTATGGTTAAATCAAGACACAAGAATGGCCTTGTGTGTGTGTGTGTGCTCGGTGGTGTCCGACTCTTTGCAACCCCATGGACCGCAGCCCTGGACCAGGCTCCCTGGTCCATGGAATTTTCCAGGCAAGAACACTGGAGCAGGTTGATTCTTCCCGATCCAGGGATCAAACCCACATGTCATGTGTTGGCAGGCAGATTCTTTACCACTGCGCCACCTGGGAAGCCCATTCTATTTAGTACTTTGCTTTTTAAAATTGTAACAGTACTTCATGGAAGTAATATCAAGACACAAGTATGGCCTTAGTCCTATGGGGGGGTGGGTAGAGGTGGGGGGGGGGTAGCAAAAATACTGAAAAGTACCAAAGGAAAAAATTACTTCATAGATGTCAAAGGAGAAATTTTTAAGTCATTTTTAGCCCCAAAGAATCTTTTTCAAACAAAAACAACTGTGATATGACTCAGTATAAAAAAAAGTATTCATTAAGAAAAATTCATACGCACAGAGATGAAAATATAACTGCATTTGTCATTTCAAAGTATCAATGCTGGATCTGCAGATAATACAGAATGACATTCTCCTAAGCAAATAAGTAAGGTAGCCAAGTAAGTAAATGCTGGGCTTCTACTGTAAGGAAATACATGCACCCACGAAGCAACCTTTTCAGCACAAAAGAAATTTAATACCCGGACCACAAGAAAAGTGATCACTCTGAGAATAACACAGCTGTTAAAATGCAAGTCAGTTTGTATTAAGTCCTCCGGCGTGTTTATGTAAAGCAGGACTCTCAGAATGACCACTAAGAGGAAATACTTTGCTAACAAAAAAGTACTATCTACATTTAATGCTTACAATAAGTGTGAAAGAAAAATGCAAAGCTATGCTCTTTCAAAGAATATAAGGGACAGCAGCTAGCGGATGTGCTTGTGATCCTTTTATAAACAGTATCTCTGGGGCTAATTTAATTAGAAATAGAACAAGGAAAAAAAATGAGTGTTTGCATTTCACTTAGAGAACCTAATTATCTTCACCTCATTTGACTAACTAGACCTAGATAAAGCCACAGAGAAGTCTCTGACACTTGTGTCAAACAATTTCAATATGAAAATTAATACTGCCAAGTTATTTTGAGACCAATTAGCTCAGACATTCAAAGGGGGAAAAAAAGGCACTGTGCTAAAGAGCACATAATCCTAAAACCTGCATTTCTGAAGACGAAAGTGCACGTAGACATCCTTGAGGCCTTGGCTCAGACACATAGATATAAGACGCCCTAGAGAACCCACAGGAAGTATGAGCTTGTGGATAACTACCTACAAATGGTAAAGTTTAACTCTCAACATGGACACTTGGGATGCAGAGTGATAAAACCAGAGCTCAGTTTGCTTTTGAAGAAGAAAGAAAGAAAATATCACTCGAAGTTTTTGAGCACCTAAAATTAACCAAATTTATCAACACTGTTGGTCAAATCTGAATTAACTTTTTAGAGAAACTGGTCAAGATGGTGCTTCTCCTAAGCACCATCCCAAGTAAGACCCAAGACCCAAGTAAAATTTTCAAAGACAGCTTGTCATCTCAGAGTGCAGAGACTTTACCCAGAATTCAGTCCTGTTCAGACTGATGTAGGCTACGCAGCAAAGAAGTCCCAAATTATAACGACCCCAACGTTTGGGATTAATGACCCCAATGCCTAACACTTGAACATGGAAGTCTTACCAAGAATCTTGAGTTTTAAAAGCCAGGTTAAATCACTGGGCGTTAGAAGGCTTACAGAGGTTTCCAAAAGGAAGTCAGCTAGAACACACAGTGTATGTGCAAAAATAACTCAGACTATCTCAAGGCCTATTAAAAAAAAATGAGATGCCATGACTGTAGGTCTGAGACACATCAGCCGGTTCCGTTACAATGGGGGACACACCAGCTCTGTTTTTAGAGCCCCTGGAAAGATCAAAGCTGAACGGGCCCTTTTCTTGGCTCCCCAGCCAGGACCCTAATCTCTGTCTACTTTTTCTTTGTCGTTATGTGGAACTCCAAAAGACAACACCATCACGACTGCCTGGTCTCCCTCATCCTCTGAGCAACACTTAAAAAACTGCTCTGTGATGGTCTGTGTGAGTGAGGAGCCCTCCGGGGAAGAACAAAGACGAGAAAAGTTCAAGTCTGAGCCCACACCAGCCTGCTGCCAGGACGGACACAGAGCTGTAACAGTCTAACTGTCTCTCTCGCTATTCTACAAACCACACCTTCTCAGGCAGGTTTCCCTGTGAGAATGAACACAGGTAAATGAAAACGTAACCCCTTCTGCTTGGTTTTTTTAGACCCTCGACCTCCCCCACGAAAAGCCCTCAGCTGGTTTGGATGCCTCTGGCTGGGAAGGCTGACGGGGCTCATATTAAAAAACAAGCCCCGCCAATGTAGAACGACTTACTTTGGAAGAACAAGCTGTGCATTTGTCAAAGGCCAGGCTGACGGGAAGGACGTTATCAAACCGTGACAGAAATCCTCGTATCTAGAAACAAACAAACAAAAATTCACGTCAAGCCCCGAATGACAGACCTGCAAAGGACATGTGTAGTTTCTGACAAGAAGTGGGGAACAATTCACCTGTGCTCTTGACACAGATTATGAACAGATTACTAATGAAAATGGACTTCAATGTACTTTAGTACTTGTGCTAAATAAATCAGTTTTGAAGAACTATACTAGGTCCTTTATTCCATTAAGAACTGGCACACAAGCTTTGCACATATCTTGAGACCTAAACACAAACTGACTCTAAAACATAAAAAGCAAGCTGAAAAATCTGTTGTTTTAATAAATGTCTTCAAATATATAATCAGCCAACTAGTTTATTATGGCAATTCTCACATATGTTACAGTGAATATGGGAGAAATGTGCACTTTAGGATATGGCATTGGATGGGGCCTCACAAGGTAAGAAGGTCTGTGAACAATAGAAGGTAGAAATGGTCCTAAATGTTTATTGAGTTACTTGCCTGACTTGGAACCCACAGAGATAAAAATGCAAACATTACCAAAAGTATGGGAAAACAGCGCCACCCTGAGCATAAAATTCTGAACTACATCTGATTTCCACTTAAACAGGGTATCAGCCTGGGACAGAGGATAAGATGGTTGGATGGCATCACTGACTCAATGGACATGAGTTTGAGCAAGCTCCAGGAGTTGGTGACGGACAGGGAAACCTGGCATGCTGCAGCCCATGGGGTCACAAAGAGTCGGACACGACTGAGCGACTGAAGTGAACTAAGCCTGGGAAATCCCATGGACAAAGGAGCCTGGTGGGCCACACAGTACATGGGGGTCACAAAGAGTCGGACACAAGGTGATAGATTTTCACTTCCAGCTATAATCACTAGATGGCAGGGGGAAGTGACAGATCTCGGGTTCTAAAATCACTGCAGACGGTGACTGCAGCCACAAAATAAAAACACGCCTTCTCCTTGGAAAGGAAAGCAATATAAACCTAGACAGCGTACTGAAAAGTAGACATCACTTTGCTGACAAAGGTCTGTAAAGTCAAAGCTATGGTTTTTCCAGAAGTCATGTACAGATGGAGAGCTGGACCATAAAGAAAGCTGAGCACTGTAGAATCGATGCTTTCGAATTTAGGTGCTGGAGAGCAAACCAGATCGGTCTGATCAAACCAGATCAAATGAGCTGCAAGGAGATCAAACCAGTCAATCCTAAAGAAAATCAACCCTGACTCTTCATTGGAAGGACTGATGCTGAAGCTCCAATACTTTGGCCACCTGATGAGAAGAGCCAACTCATTGGAAAAGGCCCTGAAGCTGGGAAAGACTGAAGGCAAAAGGAGAAGGGGGTGGCAGAGGATAAGATGGTTAGATAGCATCATCAACACAATGGACATCAATTTAGGCAAACTCCGGGAGACAGTGGAAGACAGAGGAGCTTGGCTGCAGCCCATGGGTTCGCAAAGAGTGGAACACAACTTAGTGGCTATACAACAATAAGATATAGTCCAGTTTTACAAACTATGATTTAGGTAATTTGTTCAGATACGATACCTCCAGAACTACACTTGTACCAAAAGAAGAGTTTAAACTTTATCATTTGTTATTGCTGTTCTGTTGTTGCTCAGTCATGTCAGACTCTTTGCAACCCTATGGACTGCAGCACACCAGGCTTTCCTGTCCTTTGTATTTATCATATTATTAAAAATACATCTGGTGAAATCTCTGGAGACTCCAGAGGACTCAACATTTATAAGAAGCCAAACAACACAAAGCTTCTCCCCAGTTAATTTATTTGATCTTGACAATTGTCCCGCTGATGGGACTCTGGGGAGGGTGAAGAATGTTGGCTCAGGCAAGCAGAGAGTGACTGCACTAAGATTCAGAAGTGGGTCCCCAACTCCAAACCCGCCCGGGCTCCCCACCCTGGGCTCCCCCATCCCACCCCCCGTTCCTCCCTCGGACAGCACAGCTTCCATCTTCCATATGAGGGCTCACTCACATTTAACAGCCTCACTTGAACACAGCACACCAACCAACCCCCCCACCATCCCACCCCTAGTTCTTGCTGCCTTTAGCCACATTAGCAATTCTCTGCTACCCACCCCAACCCCAAATCCCAACAAAACCTGGCAAACTTTTTGGGGACAGACCTCCTTCACAGTGTGGGTAACTCTACTAAACCAACAATCTAGCTGCATTTGCACACTTATCAGGGGAAAATCTCACCTTAAAGGAAATGCCCACAGCAATCTTTTAAATGTCGTCATCTATATGTGATGAGATTTCATTGTAAAGCAAGATCGAAAGAGTGTTTGGTAGAAACGATGAATTAGACAGCTGGGATAAGTAGCCGGCCTCGCGGTGAACCTTTGAAAATGGGACAATCATGAGTTTCCTGTGTCTTGGGAAGGTGGTGACCATTTCCTCGGCCAGTACTTGAGGCACAAGCAGGGCCCTGAGTCTGCTCTCTGGCTCACCAAGACCCGAGACGGCAAACCAGCAGGAAAAACTTTAACGGTAGACTACAAACGGGCATGTTGACGTCCTCGTGAGGCCTTGAAGTGACAGGACTGAAAAAATTCTCAGACCGAGTCTCCTCAAATCTCAGTGGCTCTCACATTAAATTTACTTAGAAACATTCATCATATGTAGTCTATTTTCCATGAAAATATTCACTGCCGTGGCCTACATGTCAATGGTTCCATATACGCTTCATGAAAAGGTTTCCTGTCTTTTCTTTTCTTCCATATTGCTAGGATCAAACTTCATGTTGAACAAAGGAACAGTGGCAATCTACTAGACGATTGGAAGTGGGGAGATACAGGCCACGGGAAGGGAGACAGTAGAACCAATTAGGAGCAGAAGGGAGGGAGAAAAAAGGAGAGGAAGGAAGGAAGGAGAGAGGAAATGTAAACAAACAGCACAGATGTCGAGCGAAAGAAAGGAGCCGCGTGAACGGAGTGACTGAGCAGGGGTCCCCAACACCAATGTTTAGCACCCAGACAGCTCTCTACCAGGAAGCTGTGACTCACTTTCCCAGGAAACGAAGTAGAATAACATCTGTGTGCGAGGCCTTGCAAATTGCCTATGCTGGTATCAGAAGGCTCAGAACTCCAAACTAATTCCAGTTTCAGGAGATCTAAGAGATGAAAGCCTCTTCTCACGGTCTGTCACGGCTGCGACAGACTCCTAACAGGGCCCTCGGCAGGAGAGCGTGCTCCCGGCACTCTGGGGTGGACTGAGGCTCCGGACTCAGCTTCCTGTGCGTGCTCAGTTGCTCAGCTGTGTCCCACTCTTCTGTGACCCACGGACTGCAGCCCGCCAGGCTCCTCGGTCCATAGGATTTCCCAGGCAAGAATACTGGAGTGGGTTGCCATTTCCTACTTCAAGGGATTTTCCAGACCCAGGGTTCAAACCCGTGTCTCTTGCGTTTCCTACATTGGCAGGTGGATTCTTTACCACTGGCGCCACCTGGGAAGCCCCAGCAGCTTCCTGTGACGTGAAGTTGCTCAGTCATGCCCAACTCTTTGCGACCCCATGGATTGTAGCCTACCAAGCTCCTCCGTCCATAGGATTTCCCAGGCAAGAGTACTGAAGTGGGTTGCCTTTTCCTTCTCCAGGGGATCTTCCCAACACAGAGATCGAACCCTGGTCTTCCACGTTGCAGGAGACACTTTACCATCAGCTTCCTAGGGTGACCAAATACAGCAGAGAATTCCTCATACTGGCACTCAAGGGCCCCTAATCTGGGCCCATCCTGCCTTTCCGATTATGTCCTGCATTCAATCTTTTCACAGGCTTCATATACACAACTACTAAGCTCAAAGCCAACTTCCCCCCAGACAATCTGCCATCGCTGGTCTTTGTTGTTCATTCACTCAGGCGTGTCCAACTCTTTACAACCCCATGGACCGCAGCATGCCAGGCTTCCCTGTCCTTCATTATCTCTCGAGCTTGCTCAAACTCATGTCCCTTGAGTCAGTGATGCCATCCAACCACCTCATCCTCTGTCATCTCCTTCTCCTCCTGCCTTCAATCTTTCCCAGCATCAGGGTCTTTTTCCAATGAGTCATCTCTTCACATCAGGTGGCCGAAGTATTGGAGCTTCAGCCTCAGCATCAGTCCCTCCATTGGATATATTCAGGATTGATTTCCTTTAGGATTGATTGCTGGCCTTATCTCATGCCAAACTCTGTGACTCAGTGCTCTTCCTTTTGGAAGCAGCTATATATCCAAATCTCCAGCTTCCATAAAAGCTACTCAAGGTCAAACACATCCCTTTCATAAATCCTAAAAAGCAGACACACTACTTTGCCAGCTAAGGTCCGTCTCATCAAGGCTATGGTTTATCCAGTAGTCATGTATGGATGTGAGAGCTGGACTGTGAAGAAAGCTGAGCGCCAAAGAATTGATGCTTTTGAACTGTGGTGTTGGAGAAGACTCTTGAGAGTCCCTTGGACTGCAAGGAGATCCAGCCAGTCCATCCTAGAGGAGATCAGTCCTGAGTGTTCTTTGGAAGGACTGATGTTGAAGCTCAAACTCTAATACTTTGGCCACCTGATGTGAAGAGCTGACACATTTGAAAAGAACCTGATGGTGGGAAAGATTGAAGGCGGGAGAAGGGGATGACAGAGGATGAGATGGTTGGATGGCATCACCGACTCAATGGAGATGAGTTTGGGTAAACTCCTGGAGTTGGTGATGGACAGGGAGGCCTGTCTTGCTGTGGTCCATGGGGTCTCGAAGAGTCAGGCACGACTGAGCGACTGGACTGAACGCATCCCTTGACTTAGAGATTATGCCTTCAATATGTGAAATTCTTCTTTTTGGTATTTATCACCAAAATACCTTGTGCAATAGTTATTTCTTTAAAATAAAATAACAGGGGTATTGAGATTAAAATTCACGTACCATAAACTTCATCTTTTTAGAGTATACGATTCAGTGGCTTTTAGAATATTCATGGAATTTCATAACCATCAGCAATATCCAACTTCAGAACATTTTCATC